TAACAAAAGTTACTAATTCTTCAGGAAAAGGAAGTTAGTTGAGAGGTTCGAACAAAACACATGAGAGTGCTTTGGAAAGATTAATACATGAAATGTTCTCTAAAGACAAATCACGGTTATCTTCATAGGTGAGGTGCTATCAAGAGCGGCATCAGCCTCAGCTGAATATGAAAAAAGATACTTGAGGTGTTTGGGCTGATGTATAAGATATTCCTATCTTTCTCTTTCTATCGCTGCCCGTTTACTTAAAAGAATGGCGTGAAAGGAAGTTATTAGAAAGATGGAGAGACACAGTCTCTTGCTCCTCTCTCTTGTCCTCACCACCTCCCACTTTTTGCTTATACACTCCTCATCAGCTCCCACCTGACACCCTACACAGGCCACCTCTAGACCTGGTTCCCGCCATGATCCTGGGTTCTACTAAGGGAAGAACGTGTCCAGCCTCAGAGAGAAGGAACTGGATCAGAGCGTTTGCGCAATCTGCCTTATGTTTCACAGCAAGTCAGAACCAGAAAAAGAGCTAAAGCCCCATCCACCTAACCTAGATTCCACAGTGAAAACATTTGCTCTCGGCATCTAATTAATAAAAGAAATCACAAAATTAAAAAAAAACCACTGGAAGAAATGAAAGAGCCAGAGTGGAAGGAGAATGGATGAGAGTGAGCTGCCTGGTGCGAAATATTCTCCCCCATTGGAGCTTAAGTGACAACAAAGAGCTGAGAAGTAATAATACTGAAGACACAGCCACACTGATGCATATCGCAGAAGCTGAAATTGAAGGGAATTGAAGCCTTTCATTGTGAGGCATTTCATCATTTTCTCAGTAATTGCATCAGTTTTACAATTTCTTCCATCACTGACTCCCCAGCCGTCCTGGCATCTCTTTTGTCTGTGATATGGAGGTGGTGGGTAATGGTGTTTGTCTCCAGGAAATTAAAGACCCCTCTCAATAACTACATTAGTCATCAACACTTGCTGCTGTGATTGATCTTGTAACCACCATCAGATCTGTGCTCAGAAAAGATATGAAAATTCATAAGCAGGAAAACAACCTTATCTTCCTTCCCCTTATCCTGCTTTCTCTTTGCAAGAAATATCTGCAATTTTTTGTTTCTAATTTGCTCATCAGGAGACATATTTCTGACAGGCAGGAAAAAATGTACATTGGGACTGAAAGCTATTTGGGATCATAAGAAATTATGAACTCTGCCTAGGTTTTCCACAGTTGTCCCTTACTTAAAAGCAAAAATATTTCAGCATTGTCTTTCATCATCTCGAGACAACCAGAAGGCAAGAAGCTATGGCACTGGAGAAAAGGCCTGCTCTCTTCTGGTTTCTGGGGAAGATACCAACGAAACGTAGACTCTGCTGGCATGATTGTTTTATGTCTCAGGAACACTCTGGAATTAGAAGTTAGGAAAGATGCTGGATACATCATTTTACGAACACTGTTGACTGAATGACTCAACAAAAGCTAGCCTAATGTGAAAAAGACTCAAGACAAGAATCCCAGAGTACAAGCACTAGTTCCTGAATTTTCCAATGCTTCCAATGACTCTGTGATTTCTGAAACCTGCCAAATTGTATTTGTCGTTTGCTTAAGAATCTGGTACTCAGGGCTGGAGTGATGGTACAGTGGGTAGGGCATTTGCCTTGCAGTGGCCGACCCGGGTTCAATCCCTGGCATCCCATATGGTCCTCTGAGCACCGCCAGGAGTAATTCCTGAGTGCAGAGGAGCCGGGAATAACCCCTGAACATTGCTGGATGTGACACTAAAAGCCAAAAAAAAAAATCTAGTACTGAGCCTGGAGCAATAGTGCAGTGGGTAAGACACTTGTTTTTGATGTGCTCAACATGGATTTGATCCGACATCCCATATATTCCCCCAGAGTACCACCAGGACTAACCCCTGAGCATCACCAGCTGTGAAACAACCCCTCCCCCCAACACACACAGTCACACAAAGAATCTGGTACCAAGGCCTAGAGGATGCCCGCATGTACCAATTATGGTCCCAGCACCACAACAGTGTTTACACAGCCAGGTGTGTGCACCCCCTAGTGATCACTGCAATGGAAAATGTGTAAGCACCATGACCAGCAAAGTAATCTTGGCATAATACCCAGAGAACAGTAGGCCACAGAATTTATGGAAGCACCAAAACCAGCCATGTGCCATCCCAGGAGATTGCAACGATAACCAAAAACAAAGAAGGGGAAGGGAACGGGGAAACTAAAGTAAAAATACAAATATAAAGAGTGCAGTCCTATGGGCAGGAAAGACAGCACAGTGGTAAGGCACTTGCTTTGCATGTGGCCAACCCTGATTTGAATCTTGGCTTCCCATAGGGTCCACCAAGCCCCTGAGTTCAGAGCCAGATGTAAGACCTGAGCACCTCTAGGTGTGGTCCCAAAACAAAACAAAACAAAAAAGGAAATAGGTACTTCATTGTTTCCATACTCAGTATGAGAAAAACTAATCATCATTAGCATTTAAGGCTGAATTAAGAGTTTAAGAACCTTTAGGTATAATGATAATTTCATAGTGTTTGCTCTGCTAGGAAGTTGTGCCACAGACTAAAATAAATGGCTTTGAAAAGGTGCTATTCTACTTAGGTAAAATTGTATTGACTACATTGGGAAATTTAAAATAATCATTAAAACCGTGTTGTCCAGTTTTACCCTTTCATGGGTACACCCTGACATGCTTACTCTTGGCTCTGTGCTCAGGGGTCACTCCTGGTAGTACTCAGGGGATCATATGTGGTGCTGGGCAACGAGCCAGTATCAACCACATACAAGGCAAATACCATATCCCTGTACTATCTCTCCAGTCTTCCCCAGACTTTTAATTCAAAGAAAAAGAAAAACCATAAAGGTCAAAGCAGTATAGTACAGTAGGCACTTGCCTCTAATGTGGGTAACCCAGGTTCAATCCCTGACATCTCAGATGGTCCTCTGAACATCACCTGGGGCGATCCCTGGGCACAGAGTCAGGAGTAAGTCCTGAGCACAACTGGGGGTGACCCAAAAACAAAAATTAATTAATTAATTAATTAAAATAAAAAGAAAGATTATCGAAGCACAGTTCTTTCCCTTTGAAAAGAAAAATAAAGATGAAAAATAAAAATAAAAATAAAATAAAATAAAGATGAAAAATAAAAATAAAAAATAAAATAAAAATGAAAATAAAGATATCTTCAACTAAGTTGATATTCAGGTATAGTATACAGTGTGCTTCGCATAAGCATGGCATCACATTCTAAACCCCCAACAAGAGGAGCTATTCTTCATTTCTTATTTAGCGATTTCAGGTACCATGGGAGAGAAAAGTAAACAATAGTTAATGTCCAATCTTACCTACAATTGGGAAATGTGTCTGTAACAAAAGCAAGGTGGATCTTGGGAATGTTAAGGGGGAATATTTTCCCCTTTAACAAGTCATTATAGTCATTTAGTGCCATAAATTAGACAGTCTGTAAAAAGAACAAATTAAAACCCTGATTCTCAGAACAAAGGTCTCACTTATTCAACCAAGAATTTTTAAATTTGACTATACCTATCCCAGAATTTTTTAATTTGACTATACCTATCCTTATGGCAGGCCATTGTAATCCAAAGCTCGTGTCATCAACTGGACATAATGTATTTTTTGCCATTAGTTCTCTGTTTCAAATTTTCCCATATGATAACTTGTCAAATAGCATTTTACCGAAGTGCTTAAATATTGTAAGAATAATTGTCTAGAGCAGGACAGAGAGCTCAGTGGGCTGAAGTACATGACTTTCATACAGGAGACTTGTGTTCAATTCCCAGCACCACTGGGTATGATCCAGACAAAAAGAAAAGAATTTTCTCCATGGCTGTCCCTGGTTTAGAATTTAACAAAGCAGTAAAGATTCAAATAAAGTCAACAGAATGACTGCAGGGTTACAGTTTTTAGAAAATTTCTTTTTTCATCTTTTTATGAACTAAATTGTGTTTTCTATAAGTTCACCTATATTTAAGTCCCAACCTCCAGTACCTTCATTAGAAATAAGACCTTTATTTAAATGTGAATAAGTCAAAAGGAGGTTTTGCTGGTAGGGTCCTAATCCAGTATATCTGATATCCTTGTGCAAGGAAGTAGAAACACCAGAGATACATGTGCACAGAGAAAGAGCAAGTGAAGACACTAAGGAGGCAGCCAGGTCTTTGTCTATCTGTTTTTGAGAAAGCCAAGAAACAAATCCTCCAAAGAAACCAAACCTGCAGACACTCTGAGGATCTTTAATGTCTTGCCTGCAGAATTGTGATAAATGTATAGGCCATCAGATCTGTGATGCTTTGTTATAGGATATCATATTAATCAAGCCTGTTATTATACCATTTAATAAAATAAATGCATTTCCTTCATTTCTTTTTTCTTTATCTGTTGCATTGGATGTGACAGTCAGTGGTGCTGTGGGGATCATGTAGTTTTTCTCATTTTGCTACAGACTAGTGAAAACTGTCACCAAAAAACCTCTGCTCTACAGAACATTTTCCATATTAATTTTTCATTGTCTACAAACTAAATAATAACTATAGGCTGCACATGCCCATAAATAATTCAATCTAAAAAGGGTATGTTGCCTAAAAGCAATAGAATGTAATTTGTATTTTTTTCACTGACTATATTACAAGAGAAATCTTGTAAGATAGATTTCCTCAAATATATTACAACCTCTCAAATGCACAATCATTATTAAAACTAGAGAATAAATGATAAATACTTATTCAAATTGTTTTTTAAATTCAGTTGAACTCTAGACCCATTATGGATATTAGACTATTTATTTCATTCTATGGAATTTGACAAGTAATTTCACATTCATTTTAAGACAAAAGTCAGGAAACATTCTTCATGCATTCAGCACTAAGAGACATCATGGTATATCTATGAAACATTTAAAGACATAGAGTGATTTTTAATGGGTTTCTGTAAATAGCATTCACAGGAAAACAAACACAGATTCTGCTCTGAGTCTAAGAGCCTTCATTTATTCAAATGTTGAAAGAAACTATTCTAAACTTTCCTCATTTGAAAACCAGTGTAAGGATAGGTTCAAGTTCGGTGCGATTAATTTGTACTCAGTGACTGACAAACACTATATATGAACAGACATTTTAAAGATTTGAACAGAGACTTTGGTTAGCACAGGAGATGGTCTTGTTGTTTTTCTTTCCTATGAAGCAAGGACAGTTCATATTTCGTAGTTTCTGAATTTTCTTAGGAGCTCTGAGGGAGCATCCCCAGACCAACGGAAGCGAAGATGCCAGCAATTCACATCCGAAAAGCCTTTAGAAGAGAAAAGAGAAGAGTTTCACATCAATGGTGGGAAAAGAAAAAAGCCAAGCTTAAAATAGTGAAGCACTATGGTTATAAGATTTCAGTGCAATAACTGAAATTTACATAAATAATATCTTATAGAAATAGATTGACTAAATTCTTAAGAACATGAATTCCAATTTAATATGAATGAGAGGACCCACACACACACACGTTAAAATGCTCAATAATAATACAAAATTTATAGATGGTTGGGGAGGTGGGAATTTTGACAATTCACCTGTGAAAAAAAATCGCAAATCTTAAACAGCTGCCAAAAGTAAAAGGTCAATGGTAAAGGGATGCCTGGAAATACAAATTATTTGTTCTACAATAGTAATTTTTTTAATCCAATAATCAACTTTCTTGAAAACTAGAGAAAAGGTCATTTTGCTTTTCTACTGAAAGAAGTGTAAATTGGCAAATCTGTTCTGGCAGACAACGTGGTAATATTTATCAAACTCATTAAAATGTATAAACCTTTTTTTTCTATGTAAGAGTACTGCTATTTATTTAGCTGATTGAATTGGGCATGAATTCCACCTTACTTTTTTTTCATTTTTTTATAATTTTATTTATTTAATCACCATGAGAGCAGTTACAAAGCTTTTGGGTTTAAGTCTCAGTCATACAATGAAACACCCATGCCTTCACCAGTGCCCTTTCCCCCGGTATATCCCCATGCCACACCCTCCTCCTACCTGTGGGACAGATGATTTCCACATTACTCTCTCTCTACTTTGATTACATTCAATATTTTGACACCAGACCCACCATTATTATTTGGGATTTTGCCCCAACACTCAGATCTGCTGAAAAGGCAACAGTAGACAATTTGTCTTCTATTGCTGGTTATGAATAATATATGATGTCGCATGGCTGCAGTAGTGGCCACGTGATTTTGAAATTCCAAAATTTTAACAATTAAATCTGGAGGGATTTCTACCAAAACCTGCTGGGTTCCGATATTTGTTCCTGAGTTTCTTAGATCATGGCCATTAAGCAGGAGCCAGAAAGGCCGTTTGTGGGCAGCGACTCGGGGTCTTGTTGGGACAAGGAGGTAAAGGCCGGTTCCACCCCCATCCCATGAGGCCCCAAGTGTCTCATCACTGAAGGCCCAAACCTGACTGTACAATGGCCTCTGGAGGATGGCAGCCACCAAGCCACCTAGGGGGAGCAGGCGGAGGGACAGCACCCTTCCCCCCTGGAATGGCCCGGGGCGACAGTAACCTACTGCGGGGTCCGGACGCATTTCTGCCAAAAGCCACTGGGTTCCGAGATTTTTTTCTGAGTCTCTGGGATCATGGCCATTAAGCAGTTCAATCAGGAACCAGAGAGACCATGCCTCCAATTATAACTATATATAGCTGAGCTGGAGGTGGTTTGTGGGTGTGTCTCCCACATACCTAACTTTTGGCCGTTTACTTTCTTGGTAAACTTTGCCCCAAGTTTTTGGGGTCTGGCCAAAGGCACAGCAGCAATTTTGGGGTATCTGGAAGTCTGAAGGTGCCACCAGGCTGCTGTTGCACTCGCCTCACAGGTACAGATTGACCTGCTGGCAGCACCATCCCCCCGAAAATGTATAGACCTTTAACCCAGTCATCTACTTATAAAAATTTATCCTAAACAAAAAAGCAAGGATGTGCTCACAGATTTTACTATAAGGAGTCTATCATGATACCAAATGTCCAAAAACATCAAAAAATTAACTCTTCAGAAATAGAAAATTGGTGAAAATCTGTTACTATCAGTACCAATATTTTTGTTTTCAGAAATAGAAAACTTCTCATAACAATGCTAAGTGACAGGTAGCTAGAAAAGAATGTAGATATTATGCTCTCATTCCTGAATTCATTAGTAACCTAAGTATTTATGTAAAAAAAAATTAAGCTTGGCATATAAGGAATTACACTTATAGGTTAAGTTATCCTTGGAATATTTGTGCACAGATAATAATTTATTATGCTCATAAACTTGCTAATGAAAAAGCAGGATACATACATAAAATATACTTTTGTTGACTCTTAAGTATTATCTAAATATCTAGTCATTAAAAACATAGGCATAATAGTTGACAGTGGTCTATCTCAGGAAAACAGCAAATGGTTGTTGGTTTTCGTTTGGGGACCACACCCAGTCAGTGCTCAGGGTAACATGCAGTGCCAGGGACCAAATGTGAACCTCCCACATGCAAGGCTTCACAGCCTCTGTGCTGTCTCTCAAGCCTTGTCTGTGTCTTTGTTAAAATCTTTTCCAGTTTGCATTGCCTAGAAATCAACTCCCCAAGCAAGAAAGTGGCCAATTTGGGAAGCAGATCCCTGGAGTATTGTAGGGAAGAGAAGGAACGAAGTCAAAACTAAATTGAAAGGAAGGAATGAAATCAAAAGATACAACAGTACAAAGGTACAAAGGTATAAAGGTACAACCCCTTTTGATTCTCAGCATCACACAGTCCCTCACACAGTCCCTCTGGGCGCAACCATGAAGCCCCCTGAGCACTGCTGGGTGTGGCCCTGGAGACCACTAGCACCACTGAGGCAACGAAAGTATCTGTAGCACTATAGCGCCAGAGCAAAACTACATCCCTGGGCCCTTGTGCTGAACCTACTATTTGATTGGCCAGGAACTGTCAGTGCCCTCCCTCCCCCCCACACACACATACAACTTAGACCTCCTGAGCATCATTTGGGAGCACCCCCATCAAATAAAATGTATCGGGCAAGACCTATCCTAGACACCTGGCACTGAATCCCACTGGGGAACCCTGGGAAACAACATAAAATCTCCTCGGAATTATTCCACCTACGGAGAAGGACCAGAGGATGTAGCTTTCCATTCCCAAACACCGTCTGATGGCCATACCCACAAGTCTTTGCTCCCTGGCTCACTGCACCTGCTCATGTGCTGCTAGCCAGGCTCCATGGCCAGAAACGATTTGATCCCTGCCAACCCATATGGTTCCCCAAGTCCTGCCAGGAGTGATCTCTGAGCACAGAACCAGGAGCTCCCCAAAACAAACAAATAAATAATTTTTTTTAAGTTTAATTTTTTGTGTGTTTTTGTTTTGATGCCCTCCCCGGCGGTGCTCAGAGCTCTGCACTGAGGGCTCATTCCTGGTAGGGCTCTGGAAACCGTATGAGGTGCTGAGGATTCAACCCAGGTTAGCCACGTGCAAGGCAAGTGCCCTACCCACTGTACTATCGCTCTGGTCCCCAAATTTTTCATTTATGAGTTGCAAGTTCACAGTGCTTTGGGAGTTTGGTTGTTTGAATACCTCTTTTTTGCTTTGTTTTTGGCTTCCTTACTGTGAATTACTTATTTTTAAAGAGCATTTTATCAGCAACTTTCCACTCTGGAGAAAATTATGTTCTCTTTTGTACATGTATATTTTTCTCTTCTTTTTGTACATGTATGTTTTTCTCTTCTTTCCCCTTACACTTCATTGCTTAAATTTCTTTCAGTAAAACTTTTCTTGCTTCAGAGAGAGAGGGAGAGAGAGAGTGCATGTTGTAGTCATGTGGGGCTGGTGTGTGAGTGTGTGTGTGTGTGTGTGTGTGTGTGTGCGTGTGTGTGTGCGCACGCATGTGTTTGTGTGTGTGGTGGTTGGCAGTGGCAGGGATCAAACCCAGGGATCAAACACATGCAAGGCAAATATTCTACCACAAGGCTGCATCCTTGTCCTTTCCAGAATCTTGTAAGAGGGATTCAAGTACTTTCTCAGGTTATGCCTGAAACCCTGAACTGTCAACTTCCCCCAGACCTGATAAACTCAGACTAGCTCTGACTCTGCGATACAAAATTTCAGAGGATTCCAGCATTCAGAAAGCTCTGGGATAAACATTTCAGAGCTGAATGGAGAAACTTTTGCTTGTTTGCCTGTGTGTGTGACTGGGAGTAGGGGGAGTATTTGCATGCTCGTGTTTGCTTAAAACACGGCTTTTCTGAAATCCCGGCTTCTGCTTTGATCAGTGTGTTATAACTATTTCCAATTATGAGAATGATGCAACACCCTGCTGGTTCGAGAAAAAAATCTCTTGAGTAACCAACATTACTAAAACAAACTAAAATTCTTCATTCCCAACAAGTAATGAACACACATAAATCACAAAAATTCTTTCCAGAGATATTTTTTGGGGGGAGGGTCACACCTGGCGATGCACAGGGGTTACTCCTGGCTCTGCTCTCAGTAATTACCCCTGGTGATGCTCAGGGGACCATATGGGATGCTGGGAATCAAACCTGGGTCGGCTGTGTGCAAGGCAAACGCCCTACCCGCTGTGCTATCACTCCAGCCCCTTCCCAGAGAGATTTGAAGTGACCATTTCTTAGGAAGATTACAGTTCAGCACAAAGCATCTGATTCTCTTCTTTTTAAAAAATAAGATTCACAGGGGCTGGAGAGATACTACAGAGGGCAGACACTTGTCTTGCATGCAGCTGACCTGGGTTTGATCCCGGGAACCCCATATGACCCAAGAGTCCCATCAGGAATAATCCCAGAGCTCAGTGCCAGGAGTAAGCTCTGAGGACCACCAGGTGTGACCCGAAAACAAAATTTAAAAATATGCGAATAAAAATAAATATTCACAGATGTTCAGGAACTTTCTGCTTAAAGGCTAGATTTTAATGGGGTATTATGTCAAACACTGAGATTCAAATAGGAATTTGAAGGATGGTTACAGTGTGTGTGTATGTGTGTGTGTGTGTGTGTAAGCACAGTGGGATAGCTAGAGAGACAAAGAAATGGCAGTAATAACTAACAATTAACTTGAGCTTAGCAAGTCTATACTAAGTATTTTGAATGTTTAATTCTCATGATACTCCATGAGAAAAGATAGTTATGATCTGTATTTCATAGACAAGGAAACTGAGCTCTAGAGAAGTTAAGTAACTTTGATGAAGCAATAAAGACAATAAATAGAACTAGAATGTGAATTCATAAAGGTTAAGTAAAAGGTTTAACTGAGGGCTGAAGAGATAGTACAAGGACTAGGGTATTTGCCTTATGTGCAGCTGATCCTATTCAAATACTAGTGCTGCATCTGGTCACCCAAGCACTGCCAGGATTATGACCCCTGAGCACAGAGCCAAGAATATTCCCAAGGACAGTGGAAATGGGTTCCCCAAAACCCTCAAGTGTTTAACCTCCATATACCGTGTTTTGACAGATCTGTACATAATGGAGAATGTCCACAGAGTAATTTACAGTAAGTATCTTCTCAGGAAAGTACAGTGACTTAGAATACAATTTTTCTTCTGAAGAGTACAATTTCTAAAGTCAAAATTTTTTAGTTCAGACTCCTTCCCTATACATACAACTGAATAGGCATTAATATTTTAATATAGATTTTTTAAATAACAAAATGAATTGATATTATTTAATTAACTCTCAAGAAAATTATTCAACTCCCCTGAGCTTCAGTAATCTCATTTGTAAAATAGAATATTAGCAGCAACCTCACAAAATTGTAATAAGAATTAAATCTATTAATGACTGCAATATTAATGTTAAGAAAAATTATAAATGTTAAATAATATATGTAAACAACATTCCTGTATCTAGTAAATACCCAATAAATTACTACTGAAGAAAATATACTCCCAGAAATATCTCAAAATTGTCCTTGTGTGGAACGTATTTTCTGGTTTCTTTGTCAACATTAAGAATCCTTTTAAGTGCCAAACCAAATCATTAAATTTGGCACAATTTGGGGCTGGAGTGATAGTACAAAGGATAGGGCATTTGCCTTGCACAGAGTCAACCCAAGTTTGATCCCCAGCACCCCACATGATCTCCCAAGCCCTGCCATGAGTAATTACATGAGTTCAGAGCCAGAAGTAACCCTTGAGCATTGCTGAGTGTTGCCCCAAAACAAAACCAAGAAAAAGTTGCCATGACGGTGCAGCTGGGAAAGGATGAGGACACAGTATAAGCCAAGTCTTTTTACTTCCAACCTTCTTTGTTCTGCAAGCTAACATGACATGACTTACTTGGGGAATCTGGATTTTGTGAGGATGATGACTTCTCCAGAGACTGGGATTCTATTGGCTCCGTTTTCTCTGTGCTCACACTCAGATCCTCTTTCTTGACTTGTCTTTGCTCATTCCATTCTTCATTTTCAATCTTGTTGGTGTGAGTCTGGTCAGATTCTTCCAGCATAAGATCTTTTTTACCTCTGACAGCCCAGTGCATTGACTATATGAATTAAAAAACAGACCAACAGTATGAAATACTATATACTTTCCTGTATTTAAAGCTCACATCTAACCTATGATAGTGCTCATTAGCGGAATGGTAGAGTAAAATGGGCTGGAGTAATAGCACAGCGGGTAGGTGTTTGCTCTGCATGCAGCCGACTCAGATTCGATTCCTCCGCCCCTCTCAGAGAGCCTGGCAAGCTACCAAGAGTATCCCGCCTGCAGGGCAAAGCCTGGCAAGCTACCTGTGAGGTATTCAATATGCCAAAAACAGTAACAACAAGTCTCACAATGGAGACGTTACTGGGCCCGCTCGAGCAAATCGATGAACAATGGGAGGACAGTGCTACAGTTCTACAGGGTTTCTCAGCTGGGGACCATAGGAAGAAAGCAAGATGAGAAGGGGGAGGCATCTGGTAGGAAAAAGGAAGAGAAACATTGGTGTAGACTATTAATAAATTAAACCAGATACTGATTCACTCTCACTGATTGTAAGACTAATACATAAAGAAAAATCCATTTCATGGTACAAAGCAAAAGGACCATCTTCATAAAGCTTCAAAGAGTAAAATGTTTCCTCAGAACATTACAGACTTGCTATGATTGAGCAATCCCATTTCTCGATTTTTACCCAAAGGTACTGAAAACAGCTATTGAAAGAAAAAAATGTACACAACTGTTCATAGCAGCACTATTCGCAGTCAAAGTGAAAAATCATAGTCAAAGTCAAAAAGAGGAGGCAACCAAATGTCCCTCAACTCATGGTTGAATAATCAAAAATGTGTTCTAGCCAGAGTGTGGGGAGATAGTAAGCCAGGGAGGATGTTTGCCTTGCACATGGCCAATTCAGGTTTGATCTCTGGCACCATATATGGTACCCAAACACTACCAGGAGTGATCCGTGAGCACAGAGTCAGGAGCAAGCCCTGCGCACTACAGGATATGGCCCAAACCTTCCCAACTACACCCCTCCCCACACACACACACAAAAACGCTCAATCCCCAAAATAGGATCATCCTGAATTTTCTTCCTTAAAATAATTCATCCCAAGATCCAAAAACACCCCATAAAGCAGAAATTACAACTAATCACAAAATAACATTTTGTAATATTTTTAAATGTTTTGTAAAATTATATTATGTATAATTTTGTAATTACAAATAATTACAAAAATGGGCTGGAGCAATAGCACAGCAGGTAGGGTGTTTGCCTTGCACGTGGCCGACCTGGGTTCGATTCCTCTCGGGGAGCCCGGAAAGCTACCAAGAGTATCCCACCCGCACAGCAAACCCTGGCAAGCTCCCAGTGGCATATTCGATATGCCAAAAACAGTAACAACAAGTCTCACAATGGAGACGTTACTGGTGCCCGCTCGAGCAAATCAATGAACAATGGGAGGACAGCGCTACAGTGCTATGTCATAGACGTGGGCCCTTATCCACGGGAAGTGTGTGCTGTACCACTGAGACACATCCGCAGCTTCCCTTTGTCACTGTCACTATCCTCCCATTGTTCATTGATTTGCTCAAGTGGGCACCAGTAACATCTCCATTGTGAGACTTGTTGTTACGGTTTTTGGCATAGTTTCTAAATTTTCTAACAAGATTCTGTATAAGTACAATTTTTAAATTCTGTTTTATAAATTAGATGTAGTGATGATTGCCCAGATATCCAAGTGCAGAGCCCCCAGATCCCAATAAGAAGCTTGGGGGGGATGGTTGTCGTGTCCACTTCCCAAGCAATTGCTAAATTGTAAATGTCATTGTCATTCAAAATTAAATAACTGTTGGTGTTAGCTCAAAATTAAAATCTCAAATCTCAGTTCCTTAAAGGGGGCATGGTTTCAACTGGTGTGGAATAAATAATCTTATTTGCTAGATCTTTTCTGTTGTTGGAGCGATAGCACAGCGGGTAGGGCGTTCGCCTTACACGCGGCCAACATGGCCGACCCGAGTTCGATTCCTCTGCCCCTCTCGGAGAGCCCGGCAAGCTACCGAGAGTATTCAATATGCCAGACACAGTAACAACAAAGTCTCCAATGGAGACGTTACTGGGCCTGCTCGAGCAAATCGACGATCAACGGGAGGGCCTTTCTGTTGTTACTGTTTTGGTTGTTCCTTTCTTCGGTTTTTTTGTTTTGTTTTGTATTCCATGCTAAGACAAGACTGGCTTTCTTGCTAAAGGAAAAGATAGTGAAAAACAGAGTCAGAAATTCAAGAATTTAAAAAAAAAAATTCAAGAATTCAGGGCCAAGACATAGAGAATGTCAGCTCTAAACCTCAGAAGCCAGCTATTGGGCCTACCTGGGACTCTATGCCTCAGTATTTCTCTCTTAGAATAAAAGTGCCAGCAGTCAGCCTTAGGTGGTAAGGACTGATGACTCACCCCAGTAAATGCTTTGAAAGCTCCCAGTGAAAAGCTATCTGAGACTGTAGCCTTCTCACCCATATATGAGTAAACCAGAATAAAGTATTATAAGACCCCCACAGCTGCCGATCCCAATTAAAAATATATGTGGAGAAAAATCCAAGCTATCTGTCCTCAGATACAGAAATGCATCACATTTTGCAGTCCAACCAAAGGACCATCATAAGTGAAATACTGAACAGCCTGTTTGCTGTGGCACATTAGATCACTCACTTTGGAGCTCACAAGGCTTATTTCTCAGTACCTCTATAGTAGTGGAGCAATGTCAAAGCTTTTCTGCCTTCTCTTTCTGTCATCCCCTCTCCTCCCAGAGAAAACTTAGAAGGAACTCTCTGGGGTTAAAAAATAATATAGAAGCCAGAGTGGTTGTACAGCAGCCAGGGCATTTGCCTTGCATGAGGCCAACCAGGGTTTGATTCCCGGAACCCCATATGGTCCTCTGAGCACTGCGAGGAGTGATCCCTGAGCACAGAGGTGGGAGTAAGCCCAGAGCACCACCAGGTGTAGCCAAAAAAACAAGAAATGATAAAATAGATTGACTTGAGACCTGAAGTGTGGAGTGTGTATCAACTTCCCCTTGGGAGAAGCCACTTCTTTATATCCTGACTGGGCAAAAACAAGCATTTAAAAATACTTTTGCGGGGCTGGAGCAATAGCACAGCGGGTAGGGCGTTTGCCTTGCACGCGGCCAACCCGGGTTTGATTCCCAGCATCCCATATGGTCCCCTGAGCACCGCCAGGAGTAAGTCCTGAGTGCAGAGCCAGGAGTAACCCCTGTGCATTGCCAGGTGTGACCCTAAAAGCAAAATAAATGAATAAATAAATAAAATAAATAAAAATAAAAATATTTTTGTATTCATAAGGCAAAAAGGCACTGATCAATGGAAATCTCCCCAACCTCCAGTTCCTCTTCATTGCCATGCTAAGAAACACACCATATTTCTCTGTCGTTTTCTGTATGTATGCATTTTCATGCAACGTGTGTCCATTTCATGTTCCTCGGCTGTGCATGCTCCCTCAAGAATATGCTTGCAATTCCTGGAATGCTACTAGAATGTATGTAAGTTGTTTTATCTATTTGGCCTAAATCAAAGCCCCACTTCGTCTCTCAAGACTTGCTATGGAGCTAGTGCTGGTAGGCATCCTTCTCAACTTATTTTCATGCCAATAAAGCCCCTTTGCGATTCATTGTCCCTGTGCTCTTTTGGATAACAGCAGAATAACATCGAACATCAGGTGAACGACTGTGAGTTGAAGCATGTCAATAGACTATATATCAATTAAAAGAGTAAATGATGGCAGTTGATAGCAACTAAGGGAGACTAAGAAGGGAAGAGTCTGCAGAGAAAAATGATGAATTGCAGCACACAGAAAATCACTGAGTATGTTGAAGGAACTAGCACTCAACAGACACCCAGCTTTAAGGGGGGCTTTGTGGGCCGTCCCCCCACGCCCCACCGAGGTCGCCAGCTGCCCCCCACGAGCGGCTCTCCGGCACGGCCATGGCCCCGGAGGCACAAGGACTTAGCACAGAGAACCAGCCGCTTGGAGCAGAAAAGCAAATGGACTTGTGTTGATCCGCGCCACCAAGCCTGCCCGGAGGGGGAAGGGCGTTGACCGGCCCGCCCGCTCCTCTCTGGAAAGAAAGATGGCGGCCGCACGGGAGCCTTGTGGAAAGCGGGTTTGAGCCGGGCTCGGGGGGGGGGGGGAGCGGCGGGGACCTCATGGGAAGGGGGGCTTTGTGGGCCGTCCCCCACGCCCCACCGAGGTCGCCAGCTGCCCCCCACGAGCGGCTCTCCGGCACGGCCACGACTCCAGGGCACAGAAATCAATCTCTTAACTAGCTAACTTTTAATAGAAATTCTTCCAGGGTCAATAAGTAAAATAGCAGAAATTCAAAACCGCGCGGCCGCGATTTTATTTCATTTTATTCTTAAACCAAGTTGTAGAAAGCAAATCATTTCACAACGCTGTTTCAGCATGTCTGATTGTGGGGGGTGGGTCGTAAACTCTAAACAATAATTGTGCATCTTCTATCGAAATAATCTATCTAGTCAAAGTAGATAGAGTATTAACTAGAACTCATCTGCCTCACAAGAATTGGGAGGGGTGGGAGGTGGGGGTCTATTGGGGTTCGGGGTTAAAAATGAGTATTGGTAAAGGGAAATGTGTTTGGTATCTACATGACTGAGACCTAAACCCGAAAGCTCTGTAACTTTTCCCACAGTGATTCAATAAATAAATAAATTATAAAAAATAAATAAATAAATAAATAAATAAAAAACAGACACCCAGCTTCTAGGTACAAAGGCCACAGGTGCACAGTCTGTGAAAAGCTTGTCCTGCCTTCTCAATTAACTTGTTTACCAGTTTTCTTTAGTGGGTGGTTGTTTCCTCTCTAGGCAGTGATTTTTCTTAAATTTGTCATCTTGGTCAATACTGAATATAAAAAATTGTGTCTCTGTGCCAGAAGACATTGAGATTCAATTAAATATTCAATTTCAATTAGGATATTAGGGGAAAAAAGTCAATTGACTCAGTTGAGCCATGAATCAGGCTGAATAACCATA